TTTTTGGCAATGGAAACAAATTTTATAACAAATTGTGGAAAAAAATATCACTTTAATGGACAATTTTCATGTAAAACAAAACCAAATGAATAGAAAATTTAAAAAATTTTCGGGCGGAAAATTATACCAATCAAACACACTTGAAATCATTTTCCCTGCAAAATATTTTCTAGACAAATCTTTTCCCTGTAAAACATTTTCTTTCCGCCTATTTTCCACCCTTGCAATCAAACGCACCCTTATAGTATTTAACAAGCCTAAAATCAAAATACCAAAACAGCTCAAATCAAGTTTATTTTACAACATGCCCCCTTAAACTTGATTTGGTCACTCGAAAAAGACTTCATGCTTCAATAATTTGGTGAATATATCCGCTACTTGATCTTTAGTTTTCACATACTTCAACTCTGTTTACTTTCTTGGTATTCTTTCTCTTATATAGTGGTATCTTGTATTGATGTAATTACTTTGATAATGAAACATGGGATTCTTAGTTAATGCAATTGCCAATTTGTTGTCAATGAAAATCTCTGTGGGTTCTTCTTGTGCCATGTTCAATTCTTTCATCAAATTTCTTAGCCAAATCCTATGGTGAATACATGACGTTGCGACAACATACTCCGCTTCAAAAGAAGAAAATGTGACAATTGGTTGCTTCTTTGAACTCCAAGTGACAAAGGTTATCTCCTATTAAAATGCAAATTCCATTGTGCTTTCCTTTCGTCCAAGTCATAAGTCCAATAGCTATCAATATATCTAACAAGTTTGAAATGATTAAAGGATGAATAGAACAAACATAATCAATCTTACCTTCAATGTAACAAAGCCTCTTTGCGGCCTTAATATGGGTAACAGTTGGTGACTCCAGGTAATGGCTAACAAGTGCATTGCATAGAGAATGTCGGGCCGTTTGTATGTCAAATACTGTAAGCATCAAACAAGGTTCTTGAAAGTTGTAGGATTTACCTTTTTTCCATCATCAATTCTTGACAACTTAGTGTGTGTTTGGTAGGGATTTTTTGGGGGAAGAATTGATTTTGAATAGTGATATGATGGGAAATGTGTGGTTGAAAAAGAAGATAAGATTATTGATGTGATAGAAAATATTATTTTATTGAAGAATGTGTGGTTGAAAATGAGAATTGATTTACTGTTGAAAATGAGAATTGGTACCAAACAGCCTTAATTCCACAATTAATGGGTGTGTTTATTGTCTTTCATTCTCCCATTTTGAACTTCTTAAGTATTGCTTTACTTTTATGTCAAGATAGCACATCATCAATCTAAGATCAAACATTTCAAATTCTTTGGTCATACTCCTCTTGAATTCTTCGAACATATTTGGGTTATTTTTCGTGAAGAACAAATCATCATCATACAAGCATCCTATCTACATATTTCCATTTTTGTTCATCTTGAGATAAAGAGCATGTTCATATGGGACATTATTATCTTGAAAATACTTATCAAT